GATTTAACCTATTCCATCTCATGCAAAGCAGCTTCAATTGTAATTGGTCAATGTTCGTTAATCATGCAGATCAGCATTTTTAATACACATGATAAAAAGCATTAAATTGCTTGTAAGCGACCAAAAAGACATTAGAAAGCATATTACCTAAACATGTTCTTTAAGTATGAAAAAGAAGCACTGTCACTGGAATTAAGGGCTCAGGAACACCAAAAGCGTATTTTAGATTAGCGTATCATAGACTAAATATGGGATCGATTGTGTTCGCGTTAATTTTTTATGGTATGGGTCACGCGCAGTTTAAGGAATTATTTACGTTGACAATAGTGCGATGCCTATTATCTCTTAAGTTAATAAGTTTCGACACATCTCTACTCGGGATTCAATGAGCTGCCGAGTGCGAAGTTTCTCTTACAGGCCATAGGTAGGTAGCTCTCTTATTTATTAAAAATACGGCGCAGGAGATGGTTTTAACGTTGCTATTCAAATATAGGTACGTTTCTTTTGTTTAGCTTTGTACTTTATGTGGTATTGTGAATTTTCCTCTTGAATTGGAGCGCCTGTCTGGGAAAGGGAGCTGACTTAATATTATGGCATTTGCTGGTGTTGGGTTTCTAATGTTGGGCAAGGGCTTCACGAAGAAGAAGTTGGGTCCAGGCTGGCAAGGTGACGATGGATGCAGTGCATATTTTTCGCCGTATCAGCTTCCTACGCATCTGCACTCCACTTACAATAGGGGTGATGACGGGGTAAATTAAACAAAATTATGTTTAGTCCATCAGCATTTAACTGCTAGATGTAAAATCTAAAGAAAATTTTACTGGAAAGAAAACCACGCGGACCAGGCAGCAGACGGGACTCGAACCCGCACCCTCCACTATCCGAGCGGATGCCCTGACCATTATGTTACCGCGGCCCTTATGACCGTGTTGAATTGTTTCTAGGCTCTGCCTTGCAGCCTAAGAAATACTAGAAAAAAACTTATTTTTTCTTTCGTCAACTAACCAAAAAATTACAAAAGCGCGTCAATGTTTTAGAGCGGGGCCTCGTGAAGTCATTCCACTTAATAGTTTCACCAAGACGTGACGTCATGCTACATTTCAAATCTATGTATATCTGCCTAATGGTTTAATAATATGAATTCCGAAAATCTACGTGTCCAATAGTTTTTAATAATCTAACTGATAGGAGTAAGAAAAAAAATAGTCATCATCTCTATTAGCATCAGGTTCGCCTCGTATAAAATCCTGTTCGTATAAAAATCACATATAATTGCTGTTCTTTGATTAAATAAAAGACAATCTTTTACATATAATTTTTCCCGAGGCCTGGGCCCTTTCATTGTCTTAATCATTATAATTCTTCTCATAAGTATGAATTTCTAACGTTCATATTGTCTACATGCTTGTATCATTGGCACTTGATTATTTCTCTCACGATTTCTGTTTTCTAGATTCCCACAATGGTTTGCTGCTCATCGATTTCCAAGATATTAATTGGCTAACCAAAAATCAAAGATTAGAGTAGAATATTTGTCAAAGTAATACATAATATCATATCGATTACTTTTAAGATTACCTTAAAAATTGACATTATTTCTGTGGTGACTACTTGAGTGAAATGGGCCTTAAACATCAAAATCACACCTCAACGTAAGGAGAAGTTAAGGTTATTTGATCTGAGCAAGGCTGGATTTGGTCTTTTTTCTGCCCTGTCTTAAATTCAGGCTTGAGTCTGAGATCTGGAAATATAGAATAATTTATGTAGGTATTTCTGAATGGCACAGACCATCTACTTACTCAATTTTACTAGCGAGTACGGAGAGCATTAAACTACTATGATGGAGTGGCATCAGACAATCGAGATCGACCCGATAAGCAAAGATTTGTACAAAGAAATCATGGGAACTGAACTGAATATTGTTTTATAAGAGGCTTTTAGCAATATTCCGTGCTTATTGTAATGAAAATGAAAGTTAGTTTCTACTAATATTACATTAGGTATTATTCCTACATTGGGAGTAATTTTAAGATGTTTCATGATTTTAGTAATTTATTACCATTTTCTTAGGTATTTGTGCTACTGAAACGCCTGATTTGCTTTTACGAATGTCTGTGGTTATCGTGTCACCTATCTCTCCAGCATAAGATAAGTACGTCACTACGCAGTTATCTTATGCTGGAGAGTAGGGATTGATATTATCGAACCAACTAGATCGTGACAGATCGCAATTTATGGGTCAAACTAATTTTACTTATGGGTTCATTAATGTTTGTTTGGACAGAAGAAAGTATGAAACGAAAAGTGAACGTGCCCGCATAGAGAATTCATTGTACGATAATATTAGGTTGATGTTAAAAAGGGGGGTAGCGCAGTCATATTTTTCTGTTTCTCCCGGTCTGCCATAAATGCACACCTTTTTTAGTTTCGTTTCATTTCTTGATGTGTAACATCTTTGCATCTTGTAACATCTTCCCTACTTCTTCAGTGACTGTTAGTCATTATTTTCGAAGACCTACGTGGCTGAGTGGAACATATGGGTTTCACGGTTTAGACTACTCAGAGGTCCCGGATTGAATGTTAGTATGATGACTACGAGCATATTTGTACCTAAGTCATGAATGTTGAAAAATATATATATAAATATATCTAGATAATTATATTTATATATGTATCAGTCTATGTATTGTATCCGTTACGCTAGTATATATCCCATAACACAAGCCTCACAGTGCTTGCTTTGGGGTTAGGCTGATTGGTGTGTGTGTGAAAAATATATATTTATTAGTAACATAACGATATCAGACTCCACGTCTTCATGGTATTTGGTTGAGAAAGCTCAACAATTGAGGTTGTTAGTGTTGAATCATTATTGAACAAACACAATCACGTTTAATATTGTTTGTAATAAGAACATTTCTATCAATTTTCCCTGATAAGGCAATCCAACCGTGAACAAACAACGTGAATCGTATACATCTACCTACCGTATTTATTTGACACTCAGGCAGTGGGTCGTCAAAATGTAATTATGTATTTTGATCACATTAAAATTATCAGGGCAGAAAGATTTCGCTTTTAAAAGACGTTTCGAAACGCTGATTTATTCAGAATAATTAGAGCGGTTTAGTTTAGTTAAAGATAAAGTGGTGGTCCTACGTTGGCCAGAAAGAGAAATAAAAATAAATAAAACTAGTAGATGTCAGTGGCCTCGTGGATTCAGGTGTGGATGGACCTGGCCCAAATAATTTCTACATACCCTTAAGCCCTATCTTTTACAATATCATAATATATAAAGCCAATTTAAGATGAATAAGTTAAATTTTCTGCGAAATTCGGCTACACATTATTGATTCATAGTATGATTTGTCGTGTGAAAACAATTATGACAAGTTGCCAGAAAATCCATAATATACTAATAATATATACACGAAAGTGCATCTGTTTGTCTTTCTGTTACCTATTCACGCTTCAACCGAGGAACCGGTTTAGATGAAATTTGTAACAGAAATAGTTTGAGTTCCATAGAACGACATAGGATAGTTTATATCTCAGAAATAATTTTCCACGGAGACGAAGTCGCAGCCACCCACTAGTTATTAAGAAAGTTCATCAATAAAACTTATTTATTAGTCGATAGACTTATCTGGGGAAAATCTTACAGCTATATTTTTTTAAGCATTTAACTGCTAGATGTCAAAGTCTAACGAAAAATTTACTTGAAAAAATTCGACGCGGACCAGGTAGCAGATGCTTATATTCGTAGCTAGGAAATCTTGAGTTTCTCATTGATTACAGATTATGAGGTGAGGTGAAACGAAACTGACAAAGGTGTGAATTTATGTCCGGACCGGGAGAAATAGAATAAATGACTGCGCTGACCCACTTTTAAAGATTTCTAACAATTTTTAACATCAAACTAATATTATCGTACAATGAATTCTCCATGCGGGCACGTACACTTTTCGTTTCATACTTTCTTCTTTGCAAGCAAACGTTGATGAACCCAAAAGTAAAATTAGTTTGACCCATTAATTGCGATCTGTCACGATCTAGTTGGCTCGATAATTCGTGTACACCATCACAAGCAGATTTGGTTCCACGCAGCCGAAGCTAAGTAGAGTAATTTTAAATTTTGACGGCCCTTGATTTTCGCATTTATAGCCCAGGTCACTGCTATATGGGAAACGTGAGAGTTGCATTTCAGGCATCCATCGTGATTTTATGCGCTGTCTGTGGAATCGAATTGGTAAATAGATTTTTGCTTGTGTGTTATATGGATTCTTTTTGTACCTAGATTACTATCTTGCCGATTTCTTTTACACATGCATAATATTATAGGAGCTGCGTAACATAACGCCGGCTTTTTTCAAGGAATTTAGACCACTTAATTTACATTTGAAACAGGTTGCTTCTTGATGATCATGGTTGATGTTTCGGTCGAATTTTCTTTTTGATTTTTGTTTCGAATTTTAAATTTACAATAGCTAATTTCATTGAGGTATGTGATTGGTTATGAATGAAAATAAAAAAAATGATTTCTGTATCACCATAATTGTATTTAACATATAAAGTTCAATACTTTATATGTTACTAAAACAGCAAAAGTATAAAATTCTGTTTCTCTTTCTTAATTACTTTGACTTATACCTACAAACATAAAAAATGTAAATAAATTGATCAGAATCGCTACCTATTTCAAAAGATGATCAATAGTGATGTGCTACATAATCGGGTTCACTGTACTATATACATATATGAAAACAATGAAAGATATAAAAAAAAAATACATCCTTTAGATTTAAATAAGCGTTACAGTTAAACGCTGTTTATTAACATACAAACAGAAAAACTATAATAAGATTACCCAGTTAAAAATACTTTGTGCTTATATGACATCGCTACTTATTCAAAGAGAAAACATTTAAAACATGTTATATCTAGGATAATAAATTATTTCATCAATAATTCATAATTAAAAAAGAAAACAACAGACTTACCGAATACAAATAGTCCCCAACTAATTCTCCAATTGCCTGTGGATTGCTCACGAAAACAAAAAAAGAAAACGTCCGAAGTTCAAATAAAGTTTAAAATTAGAACAGTCACTGCACTTCCTATTTCCGGCGCGACAACGTACAGCAGACGCGAGTCACAGTTTCGAGTGACAGGTGTGGACGGGCGTCACTGTTGCGTCGCGAGTTGCGACTGGCCTGCAATGCACCCCTGAGCCATGGTGTGGGGCTTTTCTTTGCATAACGACTATCTAACGTACTATCTTTAAACGGAGTATTAATTATTCAATACGTTGTTGATAATTTTACCAGCATAACACAAGGAAAAGTTATACGAATACTCATTGGACTCCCGTCTTTGATTACAAACTTTTCATACTATGTGATTCTTAAGTATTAGTCCATGAAATAAGAAAGGCCTGTGCAAACGTAATAGTAGTACATCTAAAAGCTAAAGTCAAATAAGAAAGGTTTTTACTTTCTATTTGTTTCAAAATAAAGCGTACGATATAATTGAAAAGAGTGTAAATAAAAAAGAAAATAAATATTTTTTTTATAAACCAGTTACTTTTATGATAAATATTTATTTTAATTGGGTAAGTGGTAGCAGTTAACATTTTTTAATAAAAAAATACTAAAATTAGATACTTTATCAACAGTTTTGAATTTTATATATTTAACAAATTAATAGTAATTATGATTTTATTTATTTTTTAAGCATTTAACTGCTAGATGTTTAAATCTAAAGAAAAGTTTACTAGAAAAAAATCCACGCGGTCCAGGCTGGTCCCGTCCGCTGCCTGGTCCGCGTGGACCTTTTTTTCTAGTAAACTTTTCTTTAGATAAAAGTAATTACTTTTTTTAGTGGGCTGGTTGTAATTAATAGGTACCTTTTATAAAATGCTCGAAGAGTTGTTTCTTGGAACTCAGTACTACTACTACTATAACATAGTTCGTTGATATTATGATTCATTATGGGAAGCTCTTTAATGTGTAGCTAACAATTTAAAACAGAAGGTCTATTTACGTAGTTCGTGTTTTCTTTCCATTTTTTAGTTTTCATTTTGTTAGTTCGTGGATTTTTTTTTTGTGGATGATGGATGGATTTCCATGCAATCAATTAAATATACTGGACAAATGCGATTTGGATTTGCCTACGGAGGGTTCCTTACAAAGTGGGTACGCAATATGAAAAGCCGTATCTTTTTGAAGTGAAATTTTTATTTGGACGGGGTGTAAATGCAAAATCCTATGGAAAAGGTGAAACGGAAATGCGTCACGAGAGTCACGCGACCATATATATATATATATATCTTTAGTATATGTATATGTGTGTGTGGGATGCGTGCGCAGTTGTTCCCGATGACCATGAAAATATGAGGGTAACTCGGCGAATTCTGAAAAGCTACTAACTTCACGAGCGTCACAGGCGTCAATATATATATTACACATACTCATATACATACATACATACATACATATATATATATATATATATATATATATATATATATATATATATATATATATATATATATGTATATGAGTAATGCGTGCGTTGCTCCATTCCCCTATACCTTTTGCACTGCCTATTGTTAGTTTATTTAAGAAAAGAACGACTTTTTCTCAGTATCAAGAAATGAACCACCCATTCAGTACATCTTTTAGCTAACCGAGACCTGAGAATTTATATACTTTAAACTTGATACCTCCACGTTTTTGATATGAAAAGTCTTGACAGACAGAAAGATAACCTTCCGTATCTCTTTTTCACGTTAACACAGAAGTTTGATTTTTCTCAGATGAAAGGGACCGTGGACCTGAGTATATGATTTAAATTTAACTTGATACCTTAGCGCGTTCTCGGAACAAAGGGTCTTGACAGACAGATGGACAACAAAGTGATACTATAAGGATTCCGCATTTTCCTTTTAATACATTTCAAATGAAATGCTATATAATGTGCAGAAACGTAGCTTTTGTCCACATAAAGTAAAATTTACACTTGGAAAAAGTTATCGAATTTGCGGCTGTTTGTTTTCCTTGCTCCCCTTGCGGCCCCGATTGCTCGGTTGTTCTTTCGACGAGTTACCCTCCAAATTTCATGCTCGTCGGGAAGAGCGCACGCGTCCCACACACACACACACCCATATATACACACACACATATATATATAGTCGTGTCCGCTTCTTTTTTCCATTTACACCCTGTTCGAAAAGATGTTTCACTACAAAAAGGGATTAATAAACTTGTCCTTCTGCTATTATAGTTGTGTGGTGCAGTGTTGAACCAAGCGTAGCGTTTCGGCCGGCGCCCGCGACCGTAACGCTCGACCATATGCCACCAAGTGATAACCTGTACCATGACCACAATGAAGCATCGGGGTTAAGGACAGAAAGTAATGCCTGTTAGTTGAATATTTTTATTTACAAGGATTGTACCACAAAAAAGTTGGTCTCCTTAAACTCAAGTTGAAGGCTTAACTAACTTTTTTGTGGTTTAACTATTTATTTTTAACATTTTATCAATTAAATTCTTATAGATATCTCAAGAAAATTTAAGTAAAATAATTTAACTTGGCCAAGGCTTAGCATTTCGCTATCTGGATGAATGGACTGACCACTATACTACTGAGCTGACCTATCTTATCTTTACTTGCCTTCATTTCTTCACATTGCATGTGACTATCCTATCCTACTAATATTATAAATGTGAAGGTTTGCATGTTGTGTATTTATATGTTTGTTACTAATGAAAATAATGAATGGACTTGGATAAAATTTGGTACGCATATAGCTTATGACCTGGGTTGACACACAGAATATTTTTTATCTCGAAAAAATGTGGGGATCTCCAAAATCTAAAGTTAGCGCGGACTAAGTCGCGGTCTTGAAAAATTTTTTTTAGAATAGCTCCCCTACGCGTACCCTTTAGATGATTTTATTTTTTCATCGTCTACCCACTCGTGTGGGCTATGGTCGAATAGGTCCTTTAAAGTTAATTAGGGGTTTTTAAGACTATTTTTTAATTTAGGGATCCCTTTTCCGCGTTGTGCGAAATATTGAACTTTAAAGTGCTTATTTTTGTTAGTGTAGGGCGCCTCCCCCCTCTAAAAGCTAAACTATTGGCTTGAAAATCCTGGAAAAAATCATGATAATATGCTTTTCATGAAATGTTAAGGAACATTATAACGGTTAAAATAGATTTGTTAGTTTAAGAGTAATAGTCGTTCAACTTATGTATTTGAAAATTTCTGAACTAATAAAAATTCCTTTGGAGGAAACATTCAAAGTAACTAAGATGAAGTAATTGCTTAAAATATAGACTCTATCCAAAATATATTGTGGTGACGACGAGCAACCTTCAGGAACCCTCCACTGCGCGTGGCTCGACACGCACTTTGCCGGTTTTGTATAATTTTCATTATCTACGTTCTTACAGTTTTTTGTAAAGGATGTCGTATGTGAGGCCTTAAACTCCTTATAAGATTACATTTTTCTGCTTTCCGTGACAGCTTGTTATTAAGCAACATGAAATTGTTTATGAGAAAACATGTATATTTAGCATGTAAAGTGTATGTTCTTGTTTTTTGTCTAAATAAATAAAATAAAATAGTTTTCAAGTGGCGATTTAAGTAAGAAGTTGTGGCCACCGTAGTGCCCATACCTCCAGTCAGTTAATTTGTATGTAACGGTAACTTTAATTTAATGTTGAGTAAGTAGAGTAGTACCGTAAAAGTAGTACGACTTTACGCGTATCAATTAAACTTTATATCATAAACGAAAGCAAGTAGATTTTAATCAGCTTTACGTATAAGGAAAGTATTTTTTTTATAGCTTGTGACTAGCTTGTAGGCAAATAACTCCACCCCACCTGATGTTAAGTGGTGATAAAGTCCAGACGCGAAGATAGCTGGTACAGCAGTTATAAACTGCCACACCAACCATCCTCACCTTGCCAGCCTGCAGAAATACCTCTTCACTCCTCCCTTAAAGGACTCCATATTGTAGGAAGGGGGAACACGTGCACGGGCAAAGAATTCCACTTGCGAATAGTACCACTAAGGAATGAGTCACCAAATTCTCAGGTCCTCTGAAGAAAAGGTGATGGAGGAATGAGGGAAAACAACTCCTTAGAACACTCGCTGGTGTATAGCCGGTAGAATACGCTTAATGATGCCACATATTTAAATAAACGGAAAGTATAATCTTTATATATATAATTCTTCTGTGAGTGTGTATGTCACTGAACTTCTCTTAAACGACTGGACCGATTTTGATGAAATTTTTTGTGTGTGTTCAAGGGGATCTGTGAATGGTTTAGATTCACAATTTTGTCCGCTGGACAACCCCTATTTTTTTAGGGCGGTACGAAGTTCGCTGGGTCAGCTAGTAATATATATAATAGTAAATTATGAATAATACTTAACACCGATTTTTACTCCCTTACAGTAAATATATACTAAGGGTACCCCTTAAATGATAATTATGCACAGTTGCTCTATGGAATCAGTTTCCTGAGTTCTTGGTAGAGGGTGACAATTTTCAGAACTGTATTGTTTTGTCTTATGCCTGTGATTATCAGAAATCAGAAATCAATATATCTTCAAAAAACTCCACAACATCAAAAGTATAATGTAACAACATTTACAAATCATTATGTTCTCACAGCGTTAATACAATCATGATTTATTATCTATACTTATAATAAATCTGTAGAGATGTCAATTCTGTACATGAAATATATTTTTAAAATAACTATCAGGGGGTGATTAGTGATCGATACTGATGCCAAAAATGCAATCAGTAAAATTCTTGTCTGTCTGTCTGTCTGTCTGTGTGTATGTTCCTTATAGAAACAAAAACTACTCAACGGATTTTAACGAAACTTGGTACAATTATTCTTCATACTCCTGGGCAGGTTATAGTATACTTTTCATCACGCTACAATCAAATGTTGGGAAAACGGGAGAAGTTACTCCATTTTTTAGCTTCCGTCGTGGGTGAAGCCTTAATGGTTAAAGTTACATAGAAATCATGTATGACGGAAATATTCTACATGAAATTGTCTAAAAAATATCCCGCAACAGCATATGTCTATCTTTTATAGTTGACTCACAATAGCACGTGTAATTATATAAATAAAGTCATTCTTTATAGCACAAGCCTGAGAACAAAAACTATAG